GAAGAGTAATTCTGGTCCGGTCTGCTGATCCTCTCTTGGAAGAGGCAACATCAGCACATGGGAAAAAAGGTGGGATGGGGTTTGGCCTCTTCTTCATCATGTACACAGCCATAGCCCAGCCTTAAGCTCTGTTTGCTTTCATGTGGCTTGCAATGAGAGTATTCTGAAGCTGGCATCCATCTGCTGCCTTGCTAACATGAAACCATCCCTACACATGTTTTTCCTCAGTTAACTGAAGGGGTTTATTACACCACATGCAAATCACCAATTTCAGGAGTCCAGGGAATATAGCCAGGTGGCACATCACAATTGCCACATCTCAGAAGTCTTTTAAACCTTAATAATTAACATCTGTGTAAATTACTTCATTAAAAAATCAAATCAGGCATAGAGACATGTTGCCATTCGTGAACACCTACCAAAGCTGCTTTTGCTACTGCAATTAAAGTTTTTCAGTGAATCAGCCAGTTTTCCCACTGTTCTGCTAACAGTTCAAGAGCATCTATCTGAAAAGAGAAAGAGAAGAAAAGTGCATTCTATTATTGGGGAAGACTTTGAAAAATGGAAAAAATAAAAGTGGTATGTCAACTGAACCAAATAAAGATATTTAGAATTAGAAAAGAAACTTCACTAATCCAACAGATGTTTTTTGCTTTTCTTCCACTTTAAGGTGAAAAGATGAAATTTTTGTTATTGATACAAGATTCCTTTAAATACTCTTACTGTTGCCCTTATATCTAATTTTTATGTCTTTACATAAAGAGCAATATCAGATCAGATAGTCTGAGCCAGAGATCTCAGACAAAAAATTATGTTATGATAGACCATGTAGACCAGCTATTTTGGTATTCTCTTTGGTGCATGGGAATTGCAGGATATTTTGGCATTCTGATCATCTCCTAGAGTTGAGACATAAATAAGTTAAGAGTTGCCACCTGAAGATTGGTAACAAGTCTTATTCCAAAGACTGCCTCCATGAGTCATCATTTTTAAACTGCTTACACATTTCCCAATTATATTGTTTGCTGTCATAGTACTCCAGATGCAGTTCTTCTGAAGAGACATCTAAAAAGTCTGCAAGGACAGGAAAAAAAAAATTCCAAGAAAACAAATAAATACTTCTAACGACCCTCCATAGTTAGAAAGACGTGGGCCTTGGTACATTGTCTCTCCTGAAACATTTACAGTCGGAGATACGAAAGATACATGAAAGAACTTTAGACGTGTAATTGCTCCCGATGAATTGGCAAAGGCCGGCTCTCTTCGAGCGGGAAGAAATACAAAGAATCGCAGCCTTCGGCTCTCCGTTGAGTCCCTCGCCTTCCAAAGCTCCCCACCACGGAAGCGGGTGAAGAATGGAAACAACACGCAGCTGCTGCTCGCTGCTCCGGGCAGCCAAGATCCCCGAGTTGCTTTCCCACGGCCCCTGGCCCATCCCGCAGTCCCTTGGCCAGAGCTCAACCCTGCCAGTGCCGACCCAGAGGCTGCCGCCGCCCGCCCCGGCCCGGCCCGCTCCGCTCCGGAGCTCCGGCCGGCAGCGGCCGCTCGCAGCTCCCGGGGCGGGCAGCGGGGCAGGTCGGAGCCGCCCGCAGCCCCGGGGCATCCAGCCCGCCCGTGGGCACTGCCCGGGCTGCCGGTGCCGCTCCCCGAGGCGGCCGCAGCCCCGCGGAGCCGAAGGACGAGCGCGGCCGCCTGGCGCTGCCGCCGCCCAGGCGTGCGGGGACTATTCACCCTTCAGGACAAACAGGGGCTGCGAGTTTAAAAGCGGATGCAAAACAGATAAAAGAGCCTGTCCACGCTATTCCCTCCTGGATTCCAGTAGTTCGGAATCAAGGAGTAGAGACACCAGGGACACGTTTCGTGGCTAGAAGTGAAAAGGCAAGGGAAAACAGTAAAAAAGTCGCACACCCTTCACTTACTGCTAAATAAAGAACGGAATTGCAGGAAGCACACCGGAGGCCGTGAGTGCATCTAATCCTGTCCGTACAGGCAGAGTTGTCAGGATGAGGAATGAAACGAGGAGCAAGTCTACAAAGAAGCACTGATTTTGAAAAACCAGGATTTACTTAGTTGAAGCTGGAGGTACTTCAGAACTAAAACAGACTAAACTTCCACAGCACCAGCGAGGTAGAGGTAGGCAAGCACCAACTTTTGAAGTTAACTCACTAGTCTCATAGAAACAGACCTAAAAAATCAGCAAGTTAGAAGAGAGGTGACAAAACGACGATGCAGCTATGAATAAACTTGCAGGGGAGCAGGACAGATATCATTTGTATAGCTTTCCAGAACTTGGAAGAAGCACACAATATCGGTGACACCCAGACCTTGAGAGGCTGGACTTCAAGGCTGCATAAAGAAATTTACCATCATGTGGGCTGGAAGCATTTATAGAACTCTGTGCTTCTAAACCAGGGATGAATAACCATGCATGACTTCTGAAGACTTCTGTAAAGTATCTTTAATGACTTGGTTCATGCCATTTTAAAAACAGTAATTTTCAAGAAGAAAATCAATATATCTGCTGTATTGACTTTGCTTTTCTCATTCCTGTTCCCATGTTTGCTAACGGTTTGGCATCCACAGTATGTACAGTCTGATGCCGAGGAAGATAGATTGAAAATTCTTTTCAAGTTTCCAACTTGCTAATTATAGTGCACAATTCTCGACAACTTGCCCCACCGTTCCCTACCTCAGTGTAATTAAAAAAAAAAAAATTAAAAAAAATCAAAAAGTCTCTGTGAAAGCTCCATAAAATGCCAAAGATACCATCAAAGTGTTGCTTTAATTTCTATGTATGGCCTCCCTCATCTTAAAAAAACTGATAAGCAGTCATGCAAATGATGGAAGAAACTCACTGGAAGAGGACAGCTATCAAGATCTAGAAAGCCGTTGAAACATTGGGAATCTTTATTAGACAGCAGTCCTTGGTCTTTCCTGAGAAAATATCTTCATTTAATCCCAGTAAGATTTCTGCATGTAGGTGTGAAGGAGAAAAAATTGTTGTTCCTCTTTCTCATGAGCCAAGCTGTATTTACTCACCTTCAATAAAGGAAGTGTCTCTGCACCTGATCTTGGTAAAATGCCATTTAACCAGAATTTTTTTTCCTTATCAAATGCTTTAGAGGCATTCTAAATATTTGGATTGGGTCTGTGTCTGACAAGGCCACACCCACAGTCCTTTTAAAGGAAGATGCTGTGTGATACCACCTAGGGAAGTTGGTTCTCAAAATACATCCCCATCTCTTTAAAACAGACAAGAAAATGGGTGTGACAAAATCCACATCATACAATATGCTGTATACACAAATTGAAAGACTGCATCTCATTTTTTTTCCTGTTAATAAATTTAACATGGTTCAGTAAAACATGGAAGCAAAGCACCAATAACCATCTTTTCCCGAGTCCTTGAAGAATGCCTTGGCATCTCCTACAGTCTTCAGATCTCTAGAGTTTCTTCATTTGCCCCACAAGTGTCTACAACACAGATTAAACAACTTGTCACTGGAAAAGCACGCACTTTGGAGTTGGCTATCCACTTGTCTGTTTCAGTGTTATATTCAAGAATGTGCCCTAAGCGACCAACACCCTGAAAACCAGCCAGGACATAGACTATAGATCCCACTGCAGCACACTTCACTGTTACACCTTTCCATGGCATTGGAGACACCATCTTCCATTCATTCATCTTGATATCGTAATATTCTACATTATCAAGGCCACCTACAAAGCAATGAGATAGATAACTGCTTATTATGTTGCACTGTATGGACTGCACTAAAGCATGCAAACTTCAGTCTTTATTTTCAAGGTTTCAAGAACCCTATACTTAAAAAAGCAAATCTGAAATACACACCAGTTTCTAAACTAGCAGCTTATCCTTGTATAAATACAAAACCAGAGAAAAGTGAAAAGGAGATAGAAAGTAAGATGTATTCTAACAAACTCCCACTAGATGCTTCCTAGAGATTCCAACATGTTACTTCATGAACAGAAGAACTTTTGATGCTGAATTTCTGATGGATTTGGGGCTAGTGACTGAAACTCAGGAATTACCTGAAACTTCTCTATAGCAATGGCATTTCATTGTAGAGGGCTCATGGGTACTTTTAGCAAAATTGGCCGTTTACTGATAGAAGTCTCTCGTCATGATAATAAAATCACTGAAGTGTAAAAGCCTAAGTCCCTTTGAAAAGGCCCAAAGGAACCAAAAGTTATTAGAGAAGAGTAGGTTTTGTGACTGAGATTTGCTTCTTCAGGAAATATGCTAGTAATTACACTTGACAATAGCTGCAAACATCCTGCTGTCCCTATTTAAATAAGTTTTCACTTCCAGTACTGAATTATTAGATCTGAGAGATTATGAAATCTCTCTATCATAACTCTTCCTCATTTTATTCCAGTGAGAACAATTTTGAACACTTCTAAAAGAAGCACTCAATGAATACACTTATATTTTGCAAGATGGCAGATTTTGGATTGGTAAAATGTTTGTGCAATAAAAGTATCTATTATTTTTGCATTAGGAATCAATCATGATGGAATAGTTCAAGCAGCCAATTAAAAATCAAGCTATATTCCAAAATAGCATTAATCTGAAATAAAGTATTTCACTTACCATAAACAGTGATTTAAAAATCTCATAAATGAGAATTTTTCAAATTGAAAAGCATTTCAGAAACCCTGTGCAATTAAAATCCAATTCTTCTTGTAAAGTATTATTCTTCTAGTTTTAAAGATAAGGAGACAGGCAGATCATAATTGACCTCGCCATTACAGTAAGTCTCATTTCAAAGCTAGAGCAGTCAAAAGAGGTCTTACATTTTCACCATTTTTCAGTATCAGACTACATTTAAGTCTTTAGACTGAAGTTCCTGAAATAGTGGGTACACCTTTACTTGTCTCTCAAAAGAATGCTAAAATCTCTGAAAACACATTAATAACTACCCCTCCCCCCAAATTAAAAAATAAACAAAAAAAAAATCTTTTCTCAGATCCCTGGTTTAGTCATATTAACTACTTCAGAACTGGGCAAAACAGTGGAGGTATATATCTGAACTTGACTGTCATTAGTACAAGAATCTGAAAAATAAGGTAACAGTGAAATGTGAAAGGAAGAAGGCAACATTGATGTGACAACAGGACATGTTTGATGGTATTGCTCAAAGCTTTTCAGCTGAACATAGTGTAATAAATTAATTCCAGAACAGAACCCACTCCCCATGAAACTGTGTGTGACCAGCTAAAGAATGAACGGAATTAAAGTACCTAAACTATTTTGTCCACCCACAGCAAATATTTTGTCCTTTACAAACACCAGCCCATGATTCTTTCTGGCTTCAATCATTGGACACAGTTCAGTCCACCTGGGGAAAATAAATCAAACAGAAAAGGACAAATCAGAGTCTGGTTCACAGAAAGTAAGTATAACCCATCATTAGGAAAATAAAGCTGCTTAAGAAAAAACATCTTTCAAGTAGAACTACAAATAACTGACTTTTTAAATGCTGACTCAGGAAAAATTCCTTACCAGAATTTTTCCTGTAGTCACCTATACTTCAGTCACTTACAGAGCTAGCAAAGACACAAGTGACTAAAGCCATCCTGACTTAAAACAACACTTACGTTTCTGTGGCTGGATCATAAACTTCACAGGAATTCAGGACTCTTCCAGAAACATTGTTTCCCAGGCTCCCTCCGCATACATAAATGAGCCCATTCGCCTCTACCATTCCATGGCTGCATCGCTGAGTCAGCATGCTGGGCTTTGTGTGCCAGCTCTCTGTTCTTGTGTCATAGCATTCAAATAAATACAGTGCAGAATTGCCTTAAAAAAAATAGAAACCCACCAAAGTGGCATTAATCTTTGTGGCTGTCTTTTAAAAGAAGAGTCTAACAGCAATTATCAAATTGATGCTTTGTTAGAGGAAAAGGGAAAGCTGCTTTCCCGCCTCCAAAAATAGAACTAACCTGCTTTAAATTTGGGATTATTCAGAAAGCACGTACTTGTAATTATTTCGACTCTTTTGTTCAAAAATATGTAAGTAAGTTTATAAAATTGCTATTTGTGTTTAGAAACAAGAAAAAAAAGTTGGTTTTTATTTTCTTGGAGGGGAATAAATGCTAAATAGAGATGTATATAAATTACCCATCCCATTGTCATCAGCTCATGCTACTCTTACTATTTGGAAATATATTGAGCTTTCAGATGTGAAGATGAAACCAGCTTTGTAAACTCACTACAGGTTCATGAGTCTTTTTCCTCTAGCAATGTCACTTGCCCAATACCCAGAATACTTGTTGCCTTTGGAATTTGATAGCTTATGTCATAACATACTCCTGGAATTATTAGTAACTACAAAACAGCTACCTCTGCCCAATTTACTTTCTTCCTGAGGACTGGTAGATACTTATTGTCTGGAAGTGCAGCATCTGTGTACTCTTCCCTCAAAAGCCAAGAGAACTATTACTGAAATCAAAAGCAATTTTTCTAATAAAGGTAGATAGGGGCTCAAAACTCAAGCTCAGGTAAGTGACCAAATCACAGCAAAGGCAGAGAAGGCTGAATACAACTTTTCTCAGAAAAGAACACCCTTCTTCCCTTTGTTTCAAGAGCTGTATTTACCTGGAACAGTTAAAGGTGACTTTTCTTGTGCCTGTTTTACACCTTTGCTTTCTACTTCTAAAAATTAAGCAAGTCATACTAGCAGCACTTACTACCAGCTGAGGATTCGAACCTTCAAAAGGACACTATGTTTCCAGACCCAAAATGACTCCTATAAACACTCCTATAAAGCGTGCATTTGTTCACTCCCACCCTGTTCTCAGTATCACCAAAAACTGTAGAGAGTGGACATATTTTTTTTTTATGTAATTAGATGTTTTCTTTGATGTAAAGAGATGTTCTTATTGCTTTGAAGTTGTAAATTCCCATCCATGGAAAGTCCAGACTTTTTTTTTTTTTTTTTAAAAGGTAGAGGCTTCCATTTTCAGTATAATGTTAATTATTTCTCCTGCACTGAAACAAGAGTGGAAGAATCTGGTATGTTCAGCTTCCAAACTCTGCTAGTTATTGCAAATAGAACAGGACTTCTATCAATTCAAGAAGGGGAAATGAGCCATGTTGTCTGTAATGGACTGGCACAATAATCCAACCTCTTCAACTGATGGAAAAAACATGCAGTTTTTAGATTTCTTTACAGCTAAGTACACTGCAGTAATTTATCAGATAAATGCTTTCAACATAATTGCCTCCTTCAAATTAGAAAACACTAGATTCAGGAGACAGACCTTTCCAAACTTTCAGTATTCACTGAATTCTGCAGAAAATGTACAGGCAAAATAAACACCATTATTAATGTTTAGCTTTTACTATTCTGTCTTGATTAGTATTTATGGAAAGCAAAGTGAAACTGTGCAGTAATGTGAGGGTATATTCATAAGAAAACTGCTACATTAAAATTTCAACTGTAGTTGTACTAACTATTTACTATCTATGAGAAAATATATTGTACAATCAAAAGTTTCTATTGTTATTCCCCATTAATTGAAATATGGGAAACCACGAGGATGTATGAAATGTTGTAGTGTTCCAAGTTTCCCAATGTTAGGCTTAGTTAAGCCTATTTCAAGTAATGGGAAAGGTGCTATTTCACATTCACCACACGAGGTGGCAGCTGGGAACTGCTTATTCTGTTGCTACATTAGACCTCTTGAGATATTTTAGAGGTCAGACAACATGGCCTAAATGTTACAACCTCCACTAAGTGACTTATCAATGTTAAGCACCGATCATGACAATTCTTTCCTCTGTTCACCTCCCTCTGCAGCAAGGCAGACCTCAAAAGGATCTTCATTCTAAGATTTTTTTCCCATTTGTTTTTATTCCCTAGAACATAGCTTTATTAGCATAGCTATTTTTATAGGTATACTATGCCTGCATTTCAACCTTTGGGTTGTTGATGATGTATCGTGTTTAGACAAAATAAAATGTTCCTGTAATACCACAGCATAAGTCATCATCTAGGCTTTTTGGAGAGAGAGAAAAGTCCCAATTGTATTTTTTTTTTCCTTACTATGCTGAATAATAACATCTAAGGGAAGTATCATTTCTCCATTTGTGGCAGCAAACCAACAAAATAACAAAATAGCAGAAAACTTCTGTCATTTGACAGCAAAATCTGACAAATTCCTTTGCAGGACCCAGTACAATTTCACCACCAAAAGCAGTAGTTGTAAAAGTTAGACCATCTCATTAGGCCCAACATACGCTTTATAAAAAGGCCATTGTCAAAATGCAGCCATTCTGGTCACACATTTCAGAAAACTTTAAACTACACTGAATTCTGTGGATTTATAGAAGAAAGGTAAGAGTGAGACTCCCAAAATATATTTCATTGAATCACACCATCATAGAATGGTTTGGGTTGGAAGGGACCTTAATGATCATCTATTTCCAACCCCTTTGCCATGGACAGGGACACCTTCCACTAGATCAAGTTGCTCAGAGCTCCATCCAATCTTGTCTCTATTTAACTCTTTAAGAGCTGCAGTGTACTTTTTACTCCAGTTAATGTCAATATTATTCATTTCAATCAGTGAAACCATTTTCAAAACACAACAGGAATAGATTGTTGGACTGGCAAAGGGGGCTAAAATCCTAAATATGGGAAAATAAACTCATTAGGCTAACATGGCAACGTGCAGTTTCTTGTCAACAAAATCATGCAAAAAACCAGAAAAATTTCCAGCTATCTTTCTTTGTGCTTTTTTGTTTGTTTTAAAGATTTTTAGTGTCTTACCCACTTCTGAACCACCAGATGTATAAATTTTGCCCTCAGCAGCACAGGCTGCAAGGCTATCTCGAGGTGTTGGAGGTCCTAGCTTGGAATACCAGCTATCCTTCACCACATTGTAGCAGTCCATTCGCTTTATAGGGAAGAGCTGGGAACCACCCAAAATATAAACTACGTTGTCCCAGAAGACACAAGCTGCATCCCTGCGCTTTTCAAAGGGACATCGGATGTCTGTCCAGCTGTAATCCTGCATTACAAAGAACAAGTAATGTCTAATAGATTATAACACTTACCTGCACAGTGAGTGTTTTTCAAACAGAGCTTTTCATAGAGATTTAGATATGGTCAGTTTTAAGTTCCTTTTCAAAACAAACATGAACACTGTTTATTGAAGAATACTCCTCAGGCGTACTCTTGAAAAATTCTCTTAGACACAGACATAGTTAGCTGTAATGAACCATGACATTATGAATTTCTGTTTCCTCATTCCCTGTGTGCACCCAGTAGAGCTTCCCTGAAAAACAGTTTCGGTGTTTTTTCCAACACAATTGACCTCCTGCTGCTATCATGTTAGAAACAATGCATGTAATCAATAAAGTAGGATTGCATTTTCTTTTATAGCAATGGAAAAAGACATCTTACATATAGTAACAGATTCTTTCTAAAAAATAATAAAATACAGAACGTACCAAACAAAGACAATGGAAAAAGGAGAAGATAATATCCAAATTGACAAGCAACTCAGTAAAAAAGCTCTGATACATACTTTATTACCATGACAACTAGAAGCTTATTTACAGAATTTACAAAACACAAATGTTCTATAGCTATCCACAGTCGATAGCATGAGAAATAGGGTAATGCTCCATCACAAATACTGGCAGTCATGATGCCTAGAAACTGATTTTGCACATACTGGCAAAATCAGCAAGTATCAAATATGAGCAGTAATGCCCAAAGCCTTAAAAACACCAAACTCAACAACTGATGGCAGACCAGGATAGCATACAGCACAAGAAACACTTCTTGAGTAATAGCATCTCACATATTCCATGAGCATAGCTTGAATCCTATACTGAACAGGAAAGTATGGGACCTTAACTGTTATCTGTGCCACCTCAAGAAGGTCTACCTCAACCTGCTGAATGACCTTCACTGTAATGGTTCACACAAGACGTTACATCATTACATTTTCTTAGCAAGGACATACTTCAAACACCTTGGTCAATGAGGAAGAACAGCGACTCCTACATGGGGGTTCAAAGAAAGAGAGGCAGAGCATGTTATAGTCCAGAACATCTTACAATCTTTTCTTGTAGCATCCCCCATATCAAGAAGAGCTGTCAGCTGCATGTGGCCCTTTATGGTGAGAAACAGGTCCTGGGGCATCCTAGAAAGGAAAGCCATACTACAGCATGGCAAAATAAATAGCTGCATAAATCTTAAGAAAATGTCTCAGTGCATTGTGTAAGATCAACATACTTTCTAGCTCAAACTTCTGGCAATTTTACAAAATATCCTGTTGTTTTCCTTTACTCTTATAAAGGGCCTGACCCACTTTTATGGCTTCTGTTCACGTATCCATTTCATCCATACCTTTATTAAATGAAAAGCCGTAACTTGAGTATATTCAGCAGCACCCTCCTCTTTCAGCAGGAGGCAATTTAGGTCATCCTCTTGCAATGCTCTTTGATGTTAGTCTGTACCACACAGACTTGATTTCAATTTTTGAATTTAAGACATTTAGGGATTATGTAGAAGTGTTGCTTTACACCACAGTCAAGATCCACACAGCCCTCGTCAGTGCAAGTCTCAGTTCTGGGGGACTGAGTAGGGAAAGATGGACCAAGATAAGTATTATGGTGACTCTTTCCCTGCTGATCTCTACTTTCATCAAATTGCAATGCAGGACACCAGAGGCAAAAGCTATACCTTTTTCTCTTTCATCAATTTATTGAATCACTTATTAAAACTACTTGAACTCCTGAGAGCCTCGAGACCCTGTGACAAGAACGGCACACACAATTATGGGCCGTGTGAAAAAGTACCTTTTGTCATTTAAGACTTTTCCTCATTTTCAGTTGATTCCTCTTCCAAGTTTGTCACAAAAACCAGCAGATGTGCCCACTGTGGACAACCTCCCCACTAATAGCTTAATGGCCACAGTTTTATCTCCTCATAAAAGGTATGCTGGTTCCTTTAATCATCAAGAAATAGCATTGCCAGGCATCTGTTACTTTTTATTTGCCTTTGTTGAATTTTGCACTGCTGAGAATTTAAAACTTCCAATTACTGCTGGCCACTAGAGATAGTAATTTCAAAAGAATAAGCATATTGATGACACAGTCTCAATCATATATAAATTCCATACTGAGATAAAATATTTGTTGTTTTATTTTATTCCCAACCTAGGGAATTTTTTGGGGTTTTTTGCTTTTTAATATTCTGTGAAAAATTCAACAAGAAAATGCTTCCCACAACTGTTAATAGAACATCTAGGATTTCTAGTAGTATTCTGAAATCATCTATGTCTACTCAAATTAGTGCCAGACTGCTCCACAAGTGTTATGCCCGTCTGCATCTGTCCCATTGCACCATTTTGCTTTCTTGATGAAGTACATGCATCAATAGAAATACCAGTTACAGTGCAACAAAGACAGCAAATATAGTCTTAAAATAATACTGCTAACATTCTCAACAAATAAAACACAATATCCAATCCAGTCTTATTTAAAGAACTCTTCTGACAACAAGGAAATTAATATCAGCATTTTGTGTGCAAAGGACTCAATGAAAATCAAAATTTTTGCACTAGTTTTATCATGTAACAGCTATGGAAACTCATATTGCAACCAAGAAAATATTTTCAGGAAAAATATAACCTCTGTTTTGAATTTTTTATGTGACATGTAAGAATTTAATTAAATTTCTGATTTCAATTAAAATCAGTGACCTAGTCCTTCACTTCTATTCAATTCAACAGACAAGCAAAATTCCAATTTTTTCCCAAGGTCCTAACCTTGCAAAAGTACATACACAAGCTTAATTCTGTGCTATGAGCCTCCCATCATCTTTTGATGAGACCAATTAAGGTGAGTTAAATGATAATTCAGCAGGGGTTCTGGATCCTTGGTTTGTTGCATTTAATAAGCTATTGTCACAGTTTAAAGATTAAAATCAAATACTCAAGCAGAACATCCAGAAAAGGACCTCTAAATAGATTAAGAGTTGGAAATTAAGTAAAAAAGTGTTCAACAAGACATGACAGGCTGTCTAAGAAAGCATATAAGCACTAGGAAAACACAGAAGGAACACATGCTTGTTAGAATAAGGATTGCCAATCACCCACTTTTTAAATTTTCCTTCCCAGCCCCAATCTTCCCCCACTCCTTATTCCATATTCAGGACTGTAAATCTTGATTAAGAGGCAATTCTTCAAAATGTCTTCCAAATTCAGTTATTTTTTTGGTGTTATACCTGGACAAGTGGTCTATGAAAGGTAAAGCTCTTCTATCCTATGCTTTATGTAGACTTTTACAGACACTATTTTTTGTCTACAAAACAGATTTCTTTGCCAAAACCATGCAACTGCTTGAAAAGTTATGAATGCCTGGATCAAAGGCTTCCCAAACTTAGACTGTGGAGAGAATTATCTGCTCTGTACCCCTCACCTCCAGTTGAAGTGCTGCTTATCTTGAGTATGTAAATAAAGGAAAAAGGCAGTCATTAGTTAAGAATTTTGAACTCCCAACAGGAATACATATTAAGTGTCTCTCAAGCTAAGTCAGCAAAGCTGGTAGGTTTGAGGTTTTTTCTCCCTACACTTGAGTGGTACTCAGACGAGGTGGCTTGAATTTTATCTTACAAAAGGAATGTGAAAGAAAAGTTCACAACACATCCCAGAGGCTCATTCATTCAGAATTAGATTTGACAGGGCTCACATTGACTATAAAGTTCACACAGCACACAAAACTGTTTGAAATTTTAACAAGCATTTAATATGCTGAGTTAGAACCAGAATTTCTTCAACAAAATTTTACATGCATGAGATCTCATAACTTAAGAGAGCCCTGATGTTTACATAGCAATTTTGTTCTGTATTACTGTATGTGGTTGCCTGGTAAAACAGGGTATGGGTAATTCTTCTGCATGCAGTTGATGTTTTTAGACCCTTTAGTCTGCATAGCTGAAATATACACCATTCCTGTGGCTTGATTTTATTCAAGAAACATGGGAACAAATTTCAGGCAGAACTTGCTTGCTCTAAACTGACCATCTCTAAGCTTTCTGTTGTAGAAACTCACTCTTTTCCACTTAAATAATACTTGGTTCCCCATTCTTTTCCTAATATACTCTTAAGAACAGACAAAATTGTGAACCATTGGGATTTAGAAGTGGTTGCATATTTTAATAAATGCAGTAAAAAGCCCTATAAAAGTTGGGTTCTACACTAACATACTAGCCAGTAAATTAACATGCGCTAAAAAAAACATGCTTTGAGTTAATCTCTAAACACCTAGGTGCATGCACATGCATACAGACTTTCATATATTCCTAACCAATTGCCTGATATTTTAGTGACCTTTTGTTTGTTTGCAGCTGTGGAATGCACATACCAATCAATGCTCAACTCAGATGGACTGATCAGCTCTCCATATCTAATATTGCTAAGAAACAAACACAATCATTCTATTCAAAATGAAGTATTACATCTAGGTACACAGGCTTAAAGATACTTAATTAACCATATTCTTCCAACTGTATACCCAGGAGGGAGGGAATACTTCCTTCCTAATACCATTTTGTAGATCATTATGTTTTAGTTAGTATCATCAGCAAAGAAAACAGGTAAGATTACAAACAGTGAATCTTAATGCATTCTGAGGTAACGATTACCTTGGGATTAAAATATCTGCAGGACTGGGGCTGAGAGCCTCCAAACAAAGCAATGCGATAATCATGTTTTTTTCTTCTTGGCCGGGTACCTTCCACTAACTCTTCTCGGTCTTCCGGGGAAAGGAGGTGGTATCGCATCCCACCTGCAAGGAAGACAACAACTGTTGCAGACCCAGGGTAGCTCAGACATGGATAGGGATGTTTCAGAGGCAGGGATGGGGGAGACATGGAAGGGAGGGGAAAAGAGGAAAACCAAGTTTCTACATTACACCTATACAGCTTTGATTCAAAAATGGAAGAATGCACAGCAGCATGTGAGGGTGGGAGCATACATCCAGATTTACACCCTATTCCAAACTGGCTGCTCCATATGAAAGCAGGACAGTTACAGACTCATGTTATATATCAATGGAATCATCACCTCATTTATCCAATATTAACAAGCAATTAAGATTGTTGCATTGAAACGAAAGAAAGCATTCCCAAGAGTGCAAAAATATCAGTGATATTACAAGCCACCAAAACCAGACAAAAATCCTTATTTCCTATACAATGCACCCAACTCAGTGTCACACAAGCATGACTGAGATGTCAAATGTCAGCAAATACTTACCAACATATAGGTTAATTTGAATCCTGCTCATTGAGTCTGAAGGAAAATAGTTGTGTACTGATTTTTAGATCTACACTGAATTGAAGCCAACTAGCTAACTGCTACAGAAATTGTTTTTCTTTCTTTATGATACAATTTTACAAATGGTGTCTAAAAACAAAAGGGAAGCTTGTTTCCTACTTCATCTGCACCCTGAGAATGCAAATGTAGGATCAATTGTCAGTATATAATAGATAAAAACAGTAAAACATACACTTAAAATTCTAATTTGCTTAGGACAGCTTAAAAAAATTCAAAATGTTGACATATTTCTTTTATTAATGCACATACGAACATGAACAACATTGAAGTTATGAGCCTGTCACAAAGGCAGGCTAACTTTCAGTTACCCTAATGAGTCATTGACAAAATCTCCATTCCATTACTTCTCATGGAGTTCATGCCATTTGCTAGGAGAAAACAAATGAAAGTCACACTGTTACATAAGATGAGTTTTATTAACATAGTAATCTGCTAATTCAACTTCAACTAAACACAGCATCCTAGAGGGAACATGGATGGATATAATGTGAAAATGTTAGAGCATTTTAAAGCAAACAATTTTCAAAAATTTTCAAAGCATTTTTTAAATTATACAGAACATCATAAAGATTTCAGCTAGAGGTCAACTTACTGATCACCATTTTAAGGCATTCTGGGTTATCCTGAATAAGTGGTTCAGCCTGAACTGTTTTACTTAAGAAGTTCTTTGATATTAGAGGAAATCGGACTTTAGCAAGAATATCAACCATGTAGGGTTGGCGATTTGGCTCATCATACTTCAGCCATCTGACTGCTGCATCATAAACCTTAAACAAGAGACAAGGAGAGAAAGGGATTAGGTACATCACCACACAGCAAGACAAGTAACAGAAGCTTAATGCTATGGATTGATTCTAATGCCTGCTGGAGGTTAACCTATACTAACATTTTATTATATGGGGATCCCATTGCCATCTTTCAAAAACAAACAAAAAAAACCAACTAAAAACTCTGCTATAATAAAAGTCAACCAAACCCCAAAAAAGATAATGCTCAAACAAGTAAAACAAATGCAGAGCTACTGAATAAATTTCATCTACAAACTTCAAAAGCCTACTACTTCTGCTGTTTAACTTTTTTCCCTCCAAATGGAAAAAATGAATCTGCAATTCACATTTATGTGGGTAACTCCTTTACCAGGTTAAATCTAATACTCTTCAAGTTCTGTGCCAAAACATCAGTAATGCTTTCACAGAAATGAAATAACTTCTACTTGATATAGTCTCCTGAGGTTCTCTTACCAAATCATCATGTTGGGTATCCAAATACATTGCTATTGTTGTGTCTTAGGGGACCCTTTAAATCAAAGTTTTTATCTGCAAATTATTATAAATTTACCAGAGTGCCACCTCTTTTTCTCCTCCACACAGGAAAAGATAATGGGTTTTCTTAGGGGTCAGGGAAGGTAGAACAGGAAAGATAATCAAGAAATCTGCTCTACTTATAATTGTCTGCTGGGTCAGGGAGAAATGAAAAAGATTTCCAGGATTATATTTATATTCTGATATTTCCATGCTGCATTCAGACACAGCAAGCTTATCCATTAGCACTGACTCTGAAGTGGCAGGACAACCTCACTGTAAGCAATAGCACAGCCACTGCCTACACCTGTAGCTGAAACTGGTCACAGTGATTGGTGCTGAGTGACTGAGACAACATGGAAAGACACTTCATGGAAGAATTATTCAGGATTACTAGACCACCCCAGCTCTAACTGCAAAATTACCAGGGAATATGGGAGAGCAAAGAAAATAATTAAAAGCTCAATTCTATCAGCTAAGAAAATTCAACAGAATGCCTTGAACAGGAACATTGTATAGGACAGACCGTACTTAATGCTATCTTCCCTTTTACCTGAATGTAACTATGCTCCACATCAAAACAAAAGTTAGAGTATAATGTCAACTTTCTAGCAGTACTCCTGAGAAATAGGATTCCTGTAGTACAACTGTCAAACTTCTGTAGTTTTCTACAGCACACCACCAGTTTCCTAAAGGAATTTTAATGATGCTATGCTGAATACATAACATTCCTACCACTGCTGCCAAGGTAAAGCACACCATCCTACCTTACCAATAGAACTTCAAGAATGTAAATCTTAAGTGTAATTTTGGCTGCAAGCCAGATGACACTTCCAGCTCTGATAATGTCACCCCATGATCTGAACTTTTCCCAGCACTCAGCAAGAGTGCTGAACTGTGACATTACTCATATTTATACCTGTAACAAATCAACTACCATATTCAACCACCTGGTATTATCCTCCACTCTTACTAATTCTTATTTTCATAAGTTACATCACCATACAGTAGGACAAATAATTAAACCTTAATACTTCAAATCAATTCTTCTGCCTGTTGGAGGTCAATGTCAATGGAAGCTTCACAGTCAGCAAAACATCCATTTCCAAGAGGATATACATACCATCTCAGCCACAACATCCCTCTGTTGTGTTTCAAAGGTATGAGTCAACTCATGATGCCACCCACACAAACTTAAATTACCTAATTCAAGCACCAGAACAGCAGAGCTACAAAGGTAAGATTTCAGTTTGTTTTCAACAGCTTTGACTAAGAAGCTACAAGTACCACTCAACTGCTACAAGCAGCCTACAACCACCTGTCTGGGCTGCAGTGTAGACACCTATATACTTCCTATTTTCCTGCAGTAGGAAGAACAAGCTGGTAAATAATCATTCAGAGCTGTGCTCTAAGCAGAATCAAGCATTCCAAATGGGACAGCTGTGAATGTAATTTCTACCACAGGTTACAAATTTTAGTTGAGTGAACTCCAAGCTCCTTTCAGCTACCTAAACTTTTTTTATGTCCAGCCCCTAAATAAGGATCTTCCAGCCATCCACCACTGCCAATGCATGTAGCTTTCAGTGCTTTATTCATCTTACTTCCAAGTCTCTCAGTTCCCTGGGCTTGTGTATGTATATGTTTCCATCAGAAAACTCCTCCCTGGAAGGGACTAAGCCATATTCAGGTAGAAATGTGCATCCATTAAGGTGCAGTTTGCTCACCACTTTGAAGTGGTCCACTTTCACCAGAAGCACATAAATACCAATCTAGAATCAACCACTACAAACAATTTAGCTCATGTACTATTGAATCAGAAGCCCTATAGCTATCTTGACAAAGGAAACTATTCTGCTTATTCCCTCTGTGACTTCTTTCTTCCAACTTTGGTAAAACAACACATCTATAAACCATACTTGAAATGTGACTATTTATTAATATTTGGTTTTGATCAAGTTAGGATGCACCTTTTATTCCACAATTTAGCAAGCACTATGTGCATCATATCCTCTAGGAACATTAGAAGTGAGATGCTTGAATACCTGAAGCCAGTTCCTGATTAAAAAAAGAGATAGTTAAGTTCAATGCTTTTCTTTTAGGTGCTATGAAACAGGGATCTCACCTGGTCTTCTGCCCTCACTGTCAGTGTATCTTGGTTCAGGAGATGTGTCACACGCTTAACATCAAGCTGAAGAAACTCATCAGTCTTGTAAACCTCAGTGAAATGCTGATGGATGAAGTCATCTGCAGTGGCTTTCAGTTCTGGGCAGTCTAGGCATTCTGCTAGCACACTTATGCCTATGAAGGAAACAAAGGAAAAAACCCTTCTAAACTTGAACTGCAATTACCTTTAATGTATTAAAATAGAATATATTTCAGTGGTACTTACAATTCCAGTTTAATATTTATTACCATGCCTTTTTTTCCCCCCCTTATTAAAACACATGCTATCATAACTCATCTGCAATTCAAGGCAAACTAAGACAGGGACGAGCTCCTGATTCCTATCCCTACTGAGCTAATTGGAGGGTCACACCTGCAACACTTGCGGTGTTAACTGTCTCTCCAGCACTATTTCCTCACTGTTTCTTTCCCAATTACAAAGCAGACAACAGTACCTTAACCAAGTTTGAGCCAAGCCACACTAACCACATCTAACCAGAACAGCTTGAGAAACTGGATCCACATTTTACAACCTCTCCTGACCTGCTCATGCAGCATCAGTCACCAACCAAGCCATGTTTCCTTCAAGAGTCATGGTGAACTGGGACCTTTCTATCCATGTAGCAATCAGCTGCAGACCAACACAAAGTTGGTCAAGTTGATGTTGCTGGAGGAACAGAACGTTGGCATAAAGGTATAAACAGCAATAGCAGCTGAGAGGCACCACTGCCAACTTTGGCATTAAAAACCACGTAAGCACAGAGCTTTTCAGCAGCAACTTAGCATGCCACAGTCTTCCTTTTCACAGAGGAAATGCCAAGTGAAGTAGGAGCAACTCACTAACATATGGGTTGCAATTAGTCTAAGCTGCTCAGAGTAGTAAAATGCAAACTAGAAAGATAAACTCCACATATATGACAAAATTTCAAGATTCAAATTAAGCCATAGTTCCTTTCAAATACTCTTTTTTAATAAACTGTGTACTTGCTTATAAGTACAAAACATGTTTCAATTTAAAAACAGTGCCTTAAGGAAAAATTGTTTAAATCTTTTTACAATAAATTAGCAATGAAGTATGCAAGTGTTAGAAACCATAATTAATTTTCCACCTAACAGAAGCCATAGGGCAGAAATACACCTCAAAGCAAGCCTAGGTGGCATTTTCCTTACGTAATGCCTTTCTTCCAGCAGCTGTTTCAGAGCCACAGCTGTACTGCACTGAAGTGTCAGTTGAGTCACTATAATTCAGATATACTCTGCAAAACATTTCTATTGCTGCTATAAATATCTGTAATATGATTGAGATGTTACCTAATGGTGTCAAGAAAAAAACACTAAAAAAAAGTTCCTTAAACTTCTGTTTATATAAAGTGCACCAAATTTTAAGCAAAAGAAGTATTTAGTTCTACTTGTTGTTTACCTTTTCTGTAACACCGAGTTCACATTACAGCTACAGAATATGATACCAAACCTGCCCAGATGACATTCATTGTTTTCAGTCAAAATTAAAGTGAGTAAAACCAGAATAGCCTAAACTTACTCTGTTTATACTTGTAAAAGATATGTTAGTTTTGTGAAACTCATAAATATGTCAAATTCTGTCTGCAAGTACAGTAATAACTGAAAGCTCCACCTCACTGAACACATGCAGTTCTCTAACATACAAGAAGCCCCAGTATCCTGCCAAGCAGGATGAGACCTTGCACAGTCAGCAGACCCTGTGGCAAGAGCCAACAGTTCAGATTCAGAGAAAAATTTTTATATGCCTGGATTTAGCCAAATGTTACTGTCTATCCAGAGATAGTGATACAGCAAAGTTAAAAAATAAACAGTAACTTTAAGTCTATTTCTCTTACCAAGACAATTGGAAGCATCAACTTGTTCTTTTAAAAAGTCCACACACATTTTTTTCACAGGTTCAATCTGATACTGGTTTGCTGCATCTAGTAAAGACTGGACATTATTGCTGTTAACGGAGATTCTGCAAAACAGAAGGTGCAAGATTAGCATAACTGAAATGACCTAAGTTGTGGTGATAAAAAAAAGCAATTTACACAAATTCACGTAAATGGCAAAATTATTTCCCTCCTATTTACCCAAGAATCTTTCACATACAGTCTAAGGACACATCCTTCTTGACGTTTCCAAACTGCTTTTGTTTGCTCTACTTTACCCAGGCAGGGCAAAGAATAACCAGTCCTGGGATCTGAAGAATAAGCCTTTAACACAGGTCCTCTGCGGTCCTATACAACTGCTATGAGTTGTGTGATTAACCACTGTCACAAAATGGAAAAAAGAAACCCAGAAAAATTTTTAATGACCATTTTCAACTCCCAAACAGATATCAGCAAAACCTGCCTAAATTCTGTCAGGACTGGTCTGGCTGATTTGCCTAGACTGCATAAGCAGAACAACCAGTTGGGCAATGCTTCAAGAGGAATTACGGAAGCCACAGTCTAGGGGATGGGTATCAGGGCAGGCAACCATCTGGCAGGGGTGGGCTGGTGACACAGACTGTCTCTTACCACTGATGGATTATTCCAGAAGATTCCTCTCAAAAGAAAGGAGAAAGCCTCCCTAATGAGAGTTAACCACATTAGATGAAAGGCCTGCCATCCACAGGTCTGATTAAAGCTGATTAAGTACTGTTTACAATCGTAGCCATCTGCAAGAGCTCTGTTGGGGGGGGGGGGGGTTTGGAAGAGAAAAAAAACCCACAAAAACCCCCAAATACATGGACAAGCTGAGATGGGGGGAAACACTGTTCACAGAAGAGTTATCCACCCTGCCTGTTCCAAGATGAAGGTGTAACTCCTGGAAATGGCTCTGCGCCATAGCTACTATGGCCTCAAAGAGACACCCTGCTGACCTCAAAAAGGGCCTGAATTACACGGGAAACATCATTTGGAGCTTGAAGTGCTTTGAATTGCTTTTTGGAGACAAATAGCCTTTTCTTTAGTCTGGGCTTCCTATTGGTTAAATAAAAAGGAAGATGGAAGAGAGATAGAGGGTCTAGTAACATCAGGCTTCAAACAAAGGAAAGAATTTTAATGGTAACAAAATTGATGAATCACAAAAGCATTATTTTAAGCTTTTAAAATTTAAAATTGGCAGGCTTCATAGAAAAGCATGAGCTTTAAATAACAAAGCTACCTTGCAGTGTAAGCAAACTCCACGAGCTGTTCAATAATGTCAGGCTCTGCATCTTTTAGCTCCACTTCAAAGGACTTTGATTCGATCATATTTGCTGCAAACAGATTAAAATTTTTAATCAAGTTTTAATCAAGAAGTCACTCTAGTTATTGTATGTTTTGCAAACAGTAGAAAATAAAGCAATTATACAAAGTGGTAACCTGCTAAAAACTGCTCAGAGTTGATTGCTGTTTTCCCAGGATTGCTAATGCAAGTCAGGAAAAGAGGCAGTGGAACAAACAAGATAACTGGTGTGAGTACATCCTTGTATTATCTTAATTATGATAAACTGTGTTAAGTAGAAAAAGTCCCAGACGTTGTTGACTGCAGCCAGACTGCCATGTTAGCATTACCACTGTGAAAATTTCACATTCAAGCTGATAACAATGGAGACAGCTCTGAGCTCCCCACATCCAGACACAGCCCTAGATTTGCCCACAGATGGTTACCACTGACCACTGGAATGAACGGTTATTTTACTTCCACTCAACTTTGATTTTACAGTAATTTTACAATTCAAAGATAAGGCATACCAAAGATAAGATACTACACAACTGAATTTTTAAAGAGAGCATAAATGAAAGAATTACAGAATCACAGAATTAAGGTAATCACATTACGGTTGGAAAAGATCTCTAAGATCATCCACTCCAGCCACTAAACCATGTCTCTAACCTCTGAAAACCCAATTTACATGCAGACAAATTCTGTAATGAGGCAAAAAAAAAAAAAAAAAATCCCAATTTTCAGGTTAAGGAAGGGAGATAAACTCTAACCCAGTAGCCCCAGCTATTAAAAGAGTTTATATATGAAGTAACACTTGACTTGATCAAAAGAGTTAAAGGAAAAATGAGGAGAGGGGTGAACAGATGAATGGAAGAAGGACACAAAATAGGAAATCTCCACCTGACACTTATCCCTCAAATTAATCACTTTCATAAGATAAACAGGTTGACAGACACAAATATAACAGGATATCATAATGGAAGTTTAAAATTAATCAATTTTCAAAAGACTTACTAGTAAACATCAAGTTAAAAAAATGACTGGCTGAAGCAAGCACAACACGGTGGGCTGGGATCTTTCTTTCTTGAACCATAAGAATGACATCACAGAGAGTTTTCTGAATCAGAGGGAAAAAAAGACAAAAATCAGCATTTTTGAAAGTATTTCAACAATATTTCTTTAAAAACAGCTTATGGAAATTCATTGCTTTTTGAAACATACACAACTCACAGTCATTATGTAATAAAAAGATTTTCTGAAAGTCAAAGTTCAGTAGCCTGGAGAACTAACATCAATTTACTCATGAATTTGTACAGGATGGTCACAAATAACATGAACTCTGATTAAAGCATTTCCTGTAGCTTTTACATCAGCCTGCAATAATGTAGGCTCTGCAGCATCTAGTAGGGGCTGCATTTATATTGCACTGCTTTCATTCAGTGGCTCTCCTCTACTCTGCTGATTAAAAAAAAAAAAACAAAACTAGTTTCTCCCCTGCATGTCATGATCTAGGAGAAGGGAAAGCAACAGAACTTATAAAAGCTGTCAGGAGGGATTGGGATAAAAACACATGATTTGAATAGATTCTGAAATGCTATTTCTTCTAAGAACATATTGAGTGAAATAAATGCACATCATACTATAGTTAATTATAACTATCTATTAAGAAAGAAAAACTGAGCAGCACTGCTTCCTTAAAAAATAAGAAATAATTTTGGACTATCACCTTAGGTTCATGGAACTGCTTTCAAAGACATCTACATACACCCATCCCAAGGCCAGCCCCAGGAAAGAACATTACTGTGGGAAATATATACTTGCTTACAACTGCAACTGTGTTTTCCACATGGAGACAATATTATCTAGGACTGATAATCCACATTTACAATTCCTTTAAACATGCCTGTTTTTATTTTTTTTACAGGACACTCAAAAGCACATACTGGACAAAATACAAATAATACTTTCAAAAATATTATCTAAATGGAAGTTAGATGGGGTGACATATAGCTTCCTTTGTAGTTTTAAACCATTTAGGATTGAAACAACAACAAAAAAAGGAGACCATTCTGAAAAAGTTTCAAAGGAAATAATTTAAAAGCTGACATTTCTAACACTTCTGGTTCCAAACAAATATTGGAAACCAGCAGTACAAGATACCATAAAATCCTATGGCCAAGCTTTGCCAAGAATTGCAGCTGTTGCTTGAGCTCCACACTGCATTTCTAAGACACCTTAAATGCCTCAGCTCAGCATTTGAAACACCTCGGATGTTCTAAGGCCCCTCTGGGTGCATTTGCAAACCAAAACAGACCACCATTTTAACTTCTTTCCCTGGGATGTTTCTGGGTCTGATGGTTCCATTTCAGCTAATGCTCTTCTGAGGATTTCTGCACTTCTTTCCAGAAGGCCACACTGTTGCCACTGGGTCACCTTCATGATGCAACAGGTGACTGGTGTTAACCAAGGGACACACCCGAGCGTCACCTTCTGCAGGGCACTTCACCTTCCAAATAACAGGTTCAGCAACACCTTGCAGCTCTGTGCCAGCTTCACATTGCCAATGACTTCATTCTTGGCTGACCTCCACTGAGCTGCAATGTTGGAACAAATGATTTATGCCCACGCTGTCCAATAGCTCTGGAAAACCCACAATGATGTGGGTCATCATTGCTGGAGACAAGCAACAACTCCTCCAAGCACTAAACACACTTGGCCCCAACATCTCACCTGTACTGAGTGAAGATATGTCCATAGTTTACTCTAAACTCCCATACTCGTGGAGGATTCCTCTTCATCCCAGCTCACACAAAAAACAGCCTCCTTAAAATGAGCTTTAAGTTCCCATCAGCCCAGATTCCTACATGATTAAACTAATGACATTTCCATCACTGGAAATTTTGACTCATATTCAGGTTTTGTAACTACAGCATAGTTCTTGACTTAACAAAATACAAGAGTAAAGAACTGACTACAAATCCTCTTACAACTTTAGCACAACCGAGGAGCACAAGTGTGTTTTCTTCTGACTACTGCTGACTTCCCAAGTTGACCCTGTATAATCACATCTCCCCCTACTCCCTCAGTAATACTTGAGCTCCTCTTAGAAAGAACTCCTAAAAGAAGCACGAGTTTCATGAAATCTGCAAAAATTTGTGGACGCATCAGCACTGTGTGGGACATGTAAAGCTTCATGAGAAGTTTGAAGACAAAACTCAGAGCTGCACTCCCTGGGCACAAGAGATTCTGGAATTTGAATCAGAAGCACACACAAACTTCACAGCACTTAATCCTGATCCTCTCACTCCTTGTGTGGAAAGCTGGCACTCCACTATACTGCAAGATGAGGCACTTACACAGGACAATGTGGTACCACACACTACAACAGGGACATGGTAAAGCACTGTGAATTTCTGTGCTGGGGACTGCACATGTATCTACAGGAGGACAACACTTCCTTTATCTACTTACAAATCATAATAGCATCTGGCATTCCCTTTTAAACAGTGGCAGAGATATGAACTAAACATTGAGGAACCAAGTTATGAATTCAGCCACACCTTGGAATATGTTTACACTTTTAGATCAGAAACAAAGCCTACATAAAAAACGCAGATTACATGTTTTAAGTCTTTACATTACTACCTTAAGTAATTGAAAAAAACCTTTTTCTATACATAAGAGCTTAGCTGCATGAAATGGTTTATGCAGACAACATAACTGACTGTCTATTACTGAGAAAAGAACAGGGCTGAAGTGCTAGAGAAAAGCAGAACCAACACCAATATTTGTGAGGCCAGGACCCAGACTGCTGGTGCAGACAAAAAGCTGCCAAGACTAACACTGGAGGACAAGAAACTAAATTCTAGAAAGTACAACACGACAGTGCTGTAAGTGTGGCTTCGGAGTCAGTTTTAACTCTGGCTGCACATCAGTTTTTAAACAAACCAAAGTTCCACAATCAATCTAGATCTCCACTGAGAAGAAAGATTTGTTCATATGCAAGGAGTTACACGTATGATCCTTCTGCCATTGTACCATTAGTTTTTTAAAAAAAAATAATTTTAAATTAATATTTATTTCAGTTTGGACAGCTCAACTGAAATGAACTTGTATGATTGCAATTTTTGGTTACCACTCTTGCTCTATTGGTAAACAGAGCAGTCACCTTTATTAACTATTGGCTATGGAAACTGGTTCAGGCCAAGGAGTTAACAATTTGAGGCCGGATGAAACCACCAAACTCCTACACTGGCTTCCTAGTGCAATGGCCAAAGGTGTTCAAGATGAAAATGTCACCTGTGAAACCAAACCATGGTTCTATTTGTCCCTCTCCTCCCGCTGCAGTTTCACTGTTCACAGTGTACACAGTTTGTTCAGAGAAGAGTTTCTGGTCAAAAATCCAACATCAGCGCCTTTCCACTGCCCTCAGGCCTCGGTCCGAAAAGGGCTCCGTAAATGCTAGCCGGAGACACTGGGTCATCCATCAACCACAGCCCCGCTCCTGCCCCACCACACGCAAGGCGTTATCAGACCAGGAAAAACAGATCCACGGCGTCTTCTGCCTCCAGCACCCACCAGGAGCCGGCGCAAATGGAATCGGAGCTCGCCACTCCCGCTGTGCGGCTGCGGAGACCCTGAGGCACCGGCGGTGCCGGCTCCGCTGGGCTTTCCCCGCAGTCGGGCCCAAGAGACGGGAAACCCACGGCGCGGGAGCGGGACCTGCCCTCAGGGCAGCGCCAACACCGCGGGCTGCGGCCCCGGCGAGCGCCTCCCGTACCTGCTTGCGCATGGCGTTCATGACGCCCATGAAGGAGGCGAGCAGCTTCGCCTCCTCGCGGGCGGCGAGCTTCTTCTCCGTCTTCTTCTTGCTGCTCTTCTCCGAGCCGGGCGCGGCCATGCTCGCCCGCGCTCACCGTCGGCGCGCCGACCCCGCCCGGGAACATGCGCCCGCCGGCTGCCGGGCGGGGAGCAGCGTGTGCCGGCGCTCGGCACGGAGCGGCGGGCTGGGGACAGGGACACCGGAGGGACACGGGGCAGACGCACCCGCAGGTCCCGCAGCGCCGCTGTCGCCGCGGCGGACGCGGCCTGGGGGCGGGGCCGGGCGCGCTGACGCCATCGGCCGGCGCGCGGCCCCACGCGGGGTAAACAAAGAGCGGGGAGGGGCTCGGCCGGGTCACGTGGAGAGGCGCGTGCGCGGCACCTGAGGGGCGCGGCCCTTCGGGGGCGTGGCTTTCCCGACAGGACACGCCTCCTTTGTGGGCGTGACCAATGAGGCGTGGTTACGCGCCCGAGGGGGCGTGGCCTTAGCCCGTCGCGTTCGGGTCCGGGGCTGCTTCCCGGGAGCTGCGATGCCGGTCAGGGATGGGCGCAGCCGGAGCCTCCGGGTCTGGCCGTGCTGCCGGACACCTCGCCGTGCCCGGGAGCTGGGGCTGCCCTGCCCCAGGGGTGGAGGGCTTCCTCTGCCCCACGCGTGTTTTAGTGTGAGTTTGCTGTTTGTGTGATGTTCCGAATTTTAATTGCACGGATGATGAGGAGTTGAATAGCTTAATGCCATTAATTGAAGGGAGACAGATTCCTGCAAAAATAACATGAGGCTTTTTTATTAAGAAAAGGAATGAGCTACTTTATTCCTGAGATCATGTCCCATATGGTAAGATTTAAAAATATGGACTTTGATATTATGCCATCTAACAATTACTACTACATGGAAGCTATAAGAATTTTAATGCATTTGACCTTTGCTTCGTTGAAAAAAAACTGACACAACTATCACTGGACTTTTCAGATTTTATCATATAACAGTAAAAAAATGAGAAAATTTGGAATGTATTTCTGGTCATTTTCAGATTTCACGGTATAAAGAGTTTACCTATAGAGTTTTAATGTAATCTTGAAGGTAATCATAGGATGCCTGTTTTACCCGTGGGATACACAGAAACAGCTGTGCTGGGAGGATAAATATCTGTGCTGGGTTCGAAGTTCACTGCCATGTTGCAGAAGATTATTTGGCCAGGTTAAGGACTTCAGACTGTTGCTCCTAAGATGAGATCCTTTACTGACACAAGCTGTGCTGAGGAAAGATTAAAGCAGAGGTCTGCCCTTCGTTTCCCTGGAGAGCTGCTTTTAAGCAGAGAATTTACTGCTGGTTCCTTTTACACCGAGAAACAACACTTGAGCACTTCCAGAGCCTGACAGCACTCGGTGTGTTACCTCCCTTTGTACTGCTCTGTGCCTGGGGTGGCAGCGTTACTGACCTGACAATTAGCATCAGTGTCTAGGAGACATGCAGGGAGCTGCCTCTAACACCGGCAGGCAGCTAACATGATGTCCCTGTCCAGGTCAGGCTCAAATGAAGGGTCAGCCATACCCAAATTCTACAAGCAGCTTCAGTGGGATTTGACACTGAGGGTAACCTGGGATGTGGGGAACCTCTGTACCCCCTAAGGGACATACTACAAAGTCAGTTTCTTTTATGAAGTTTTCCCTACTTCAGACCACAGTAGATGGGCAGCTTGTGAGGGAACAGCAAGGACCACCTGCTCCGAAAGGAATTTAGAGCATGATACCATGGTAGGTGGGAACAGTTGCCTTACCAATAAGAAGCTAGCATGCTGTGTGAGAAAGTTCTAGATTTACTTTAAATTGAAATGGTTGAATGTTATTTTATATGAGATAAGATGCTATCCACCTTTTGGATGAAAACCAGCTATTGTGTGTACGTAGAACCACAGAATGGCTTGGGTTGGGAAGATCTTAAAAATCATCTAGTCCTGACACCTTCCACTAGATCAGGTTCCTCAGATCCCCATCCAACCTGACCTTGAGCACTGCCAGGTTTGGGACTTGGGACATCCACAATTTCCCTGGGAAACCTGTTCCAGTATCTCGCTGCTGTCACAGTAATGAATTTATTCCTAATATCTAGCCTAAGTTTCCCCTTTTTCAGTTTCTCCTCATTATTCTTTGTCTTATTTCTACAGTTCTGATGAAGAGTCCCTCCCTGGCTTCCCTGTAAGGCCTGTTCAGATACTAGAAGGTTGCTATGAGGTCTCCACATAACCTTCTCTTCTCTAGGCTGAACAGCTCCAGCTTTCTTAGCCTGACTTCACAGCAGAAGTGCTCCAGTCCCCTTGCCAACTTTGTGGCCTCGTCTGGACTTGCTCCAACAGTTCCATGTCCATCTTATGTTGGGAT